ATATATATATATTTGATGCAGCTAAAATCAAGTAAACAAATAATACAAACTTTGTTCAAATTGGTTGAGAAATAAAGAAGTTATGTAATTTTGTTGGAATAAAAGAGAGGTAAATTTCAGCACTGACCCGGTCAGATTATGCTGCTTGTGGGCCTTAAAAACACACTTTAGAGTCGATGCTTATTTATGAAAATTTCTCAGATTGTAGAAAACTGCTCACGCTAACGTATCTTTTATTTTTTAATGAAGACTACACATCTGTGGCCTGACTTTTGATCACTTGAATCTAAAAAAAAATGTCAGCTCACCTGTCCCTGTGATTGAGGATTGTCACAAACGTACAAAATGTATTAATTGGATTCGCAATCATCATCAATGCGTTCACTTAATGTCTTCCTCCTTTTTTTTTTAGGCGGGACGGCATGTGTGATAAGTGGTCAGCCCTTTGACACAGCCAAAGTGAAGATGCAGACGTTTCCCACTATGTACCGAGGCTTTCTCCACTGCTTCATATCGACGTTCAGACAGGTGGGACTCGGCGGTCTCTACAAAGGCACCACTCCGGCCCTCGTTGCCAACATCACAGAGAACGCAGTGCTCTTCTTGAGTTACGGCATGTGCCAGGACGTGGTCCGCTTTTTGTCTGGGCTGAATAAAGGGGCAGATCTCAGGTTTGATGTGGAAATTTTTCTAATTAACCTTTAAAATTAGCTCTATTATATGGCAAAACAAATATCCATATGGACCAAGAGCACTTTGTGTCGTCACATTTCCAGATTCTGTCTTAAGTTTTTAATCTTCCCCAACAATGACTTTAAACAATCATTATCCTGAACAAGCCAGTTAATGTTTGGGAACTTTGTTAATGTCATGTTAGAGTTGAATAATAATAGAATGTCTAAATGTTGGCATGATGGTCAAATTAAAAATTCACTAAAATAGGAAAATTTAGCTTAACATCTTTAAACTAGAGGATTTGTTTTATTTTCATAAAACATTTGCATCCTTAGCAAATGATGTCAAAATCCAATGAATGCTCTTTTATCAGCTTAGTAAACTGACAGTTCTTACAACATGAAAGTAGCAGAATCTGAGTTCTCATTTAACTTTGTTACCATTATGAAACACTTTGTCAAGCTGTTAACTCTCCCCTGTTAAAAGTCATGACTGTGTTTTATTCATTCTTTAATCATTCCTCTTTGCCCCTTGAATAAATCAGTTTTCTTACCAGTTCTTTATTTTCTCTAAACTTACTCATAAGACCGTTGCAATCGCTCAAATCTAAGCTTTTTTCAACACAAGTTTGCTTTAAAATAGGTTGAATATTCATGCTCTGACCTCAACTGGTGGTAATGGATTATTTTTTACTTTTTTTTTTCAAAAACTGGAATATTTAGTGTAGAGATCGACCGATACAGGTTTTTGAAGGTCGATACTGATTTTTTAAACATCAGTCTAACCGATACGCCGATACGTGCAGCCGATATTTTTTGGCCGATTCTTGAAGCCGATACTGCCTTTTTCTTCCTCCATGAACATGATAAAAATAAGAATGATAACAAATGGTACACAAGTCTTAATTTAAAACAAACAAACAAGCAAACAAAAAAAACCCATTTACTAACCAAGCCTTGTCTGATGCAGGCTGTATTAAGTGCTACCACACAGGATTTCTTCTTTAAATTTTTTTTAAAATAAATAAGTTCACTATTCATTTTATCTAGTGCTAAATATTCTGTTCTTATTTGTATATTAATAAGAATAATATATTTTTACATAAAATTACTATTTTTTAATATCCCAGCATTTTTGATGCAAAAACAGCAACAAGCCTAAATAAAACTGCCAGAGCAACACAGAGAAAAAGAGACACACATACATCTTGCTATTTTTGTCAGGACTTCACACACACAGCGCTCATAGCATCTCTGCCTCAGTCTGCTGCTCCCGTTTTTAACACCAGGCAAAAAATGCATTTAAACCAGCTGACGTTAACTTTAGATCACAGTTTGAAATGTACACCGAAGAGAACCAGCATCACCAAGTGATTACTAAAAAGCTTTGTGGGAATTTATTGGCGTCATCACGTTTGCTGTGACCGCAGTCATCAGGACTGGTGAAAGTGTTAGCTAACGGCAGTGTGTAGCATACTCTCCTCTCATTGGTCAGTCAATGAAACCCTCGCTGATTGGTTGTACGCTAAGTGACAGTGACAAAAGTTGAACATTTTTCAACTTTCATATGTCGCGTCGCAAGCTCGCGTGTGCACGTCTACGTGTACGAGCGCGAGATTTCACATGCACTATTTTCGCCGGTCGCTTAGCTGGAGGAGGGCACGCGATTGTTTCCTTACCGCACAGGCTCCATAGAAAATGAATGGAGAGCGAGCGACGTTGCCTCCCGTGTGTCGAGCCCTTAAAAGTAGTTTATGAAGCGTCTCAGTCTGACTTTAAGCGAAGTATAAGAGTAATTATTAAGTGTCAGTCTTAGAGCTGATTTACGACAGCTGATCCTGGTTGACGTCGTTACAAAACCCCCGGCATGGGCCAATCACTGCATCGGATTTTATGTTCAAGAACATTTTCTGAGAAATGTCAAGATAAAACTGTGAAAATCATTTGCATGTACTCACCAGCTGATAGTTTAATATTTTCTCCAAAAGCTGAAAAGAAATTTCCACATTTTAGTCCAACATTATGCGCACCAGTAATAGTTTTTTTTTTACCCTTCTTTCTTTTGTATTGCATGCCTAAACCTGGTTTCCACACCTTGGTTTAGTTCCTCTGTACATTATCAAGATGGCGTCTACTCACAGCTTTAGAAAGTTAGCTCCGTAACCTTTACTGTTAATTTTCGTTCTTATATTTTTGTGCATGTTTAATCACTCGCACAAGTAGTGCGTATGTTGTGCATACTGTACGTATGAAAATCACCGTTTATATGCAAGACTTATGTAGTAGAACTCTCTTTTTGTCAATGTTTATATTGGAGCAGTGTTGTAGCTAGGTTAGCGGCAGCAATACAATCGCCTGTCAGCTAACTGGAATGCTGTTTCATACGGTTTGTTGGGAAATTACGTCTCTTCCCAGTTCCAGAATATAATGTAAACACTCAAGTGGGGAGGAGCTTTGTTCTGTATGTGATCTCTGTCTTCTCAGTCCATCTCAGACCCCTAGTGGCAACTCTTAAACACTTAAGAGAGCTCTGGAGCTGTCATAAATATCTGGTAACTTAAGAGTGATTCTTAGACTTAAGAATTTTGATAACTGAGAGTAGGAGTAAATCTATGAAATTTTTAACGCTTACCGTAAATCAAGAAGTCACCATATATATTAGCTCAGCGCTACACATTCTCCTCTCGTCACTGAGGTCCCCCATCCACATGACAGAGAGGGGAACACAAAAATGATTCAGCCTGCAACTGAAAATATGGATGGAGGACCTCAGTTTAGCTTGTTTGTTGCGCTAGCACTGAGCTAATACATATAAGACAATATAGCGTTGGCGCTAGCACAAAGGCTAACAGGCTAAGCTGAGCTTCTTCTTCCATGAAGCAGCTCTGTTGTCCTCCATCTATATTTTCAGTTGTAACTGAAAATATAGTCATTTCTACCTTCTCCTCTCTGTCAACGCTCTCTGGTTTCATTTAAAAGAGCCAATCGTCAGATATTGTCCAAGATTAACCTTCAGGGTGTATATATCTCGCTAGCAGCCTCGCACCGAGGACCTATCCACGTCATCATTTACCCAGAATGCTTTGCATATAAATAAAATGGCTCCATCTGTGTTAAAAAACATTTTTAAAAATTTACAAAACTAAACGTCCTACAGTATTTTTACAGTCTTTATTTTACAGTTAAAATCATGTTTATCAAATAAAGTCTAATGTTACAACTAATCAGGGATCCCTTTAATAAAGGACTGAGACACTTGAAAACTGACTTTTACTCTCAGCTTTTAACTAAGAATTTTTTTACACTTAAGTCGACTCTTAACAGCATTCTTAAGAGTAATTCTAAGAAGTTTGATAAAAACGGGCCCTGATCTATACCACAAAAAACAAACACTATGATGCACTTCAAATTAGTTGTGAAGGTTGTTAGTTTTCAACGCAGCACAAATCCTTTAATCTCAATGTTCATAAAATTTGAGATGTTTATTTAATGATGCGATTTAAAAAATTTCAGCTCCAATAAAACTTAATTTTTTTAAATATTTTGTCTCAGTGATTTGCAGAAGGCATCTGCAGGGTCTTTAGCCTCCATCTTCTCTGCCACGGCGCTTTGCCCCACAGAGCTGGTGAAATGTCGCCTGCAGGCCATGCATGAAATGGAGGCAACGGGACAGGTGGCGAGAGGTCAGAAAAGGTCAGTGCGACCGGAGTGGGTGGGATGAGCAGAACAGGGTCAGTTTGCAGCTGACATCTTTTGATTTTTATTTATTTAATTTTTTTGTGGCGTGACTTCAGCACGGTGTGGTCCGTAGTCAAGACCGTTCTGAAGAAAAAGGGGCCGTTGGGTTTTTACCAAGGACTGACGTCCACCATCGTGAGGGAGATTCCTGGTTACTTCTGTTTCTTTGGGGCCTATGAACTGTGTCGCTCTACGTTTGCACAGCACATGGGCACGGACAAGGACGGCATAGGTAGGCTCGCACAAGTTCACCTTTTGTGTTTTGCGTCGTCGCAGTTTGCGAAATAAATTCTGTTTGCAGGTATTGTCCCGCTCATGTTCAGTGGTGGATTTGGAGGAGCTTGTCTTTGGCTGGCGGTCTACCCGATAGACTGTGTGAAGTCCAGGATCCAGGTCTACTCTTTAGCTGGGAGGCAAGAGGGCTTCATGAAAACCTTCATGGGCATCGTACGCACCGAAGGTAAGACTTGAACCTGCAGGAAAAAGGGAAACAATAGCGTGAAGGCTGAAGCAGGGTTCATACAATTCTCTTAAAATAAACAATTTATATTGTTGAACCACAGCAGAAGAAGCAAAGTATAAAAAGTACAGAGGTTTAGTTTAGATCAAGTTAAAAAGTGTTTGAGAATTTGACCTAATGTGTAACAATCAGCAGGATCAACCTGTGCAGCTGGTTAATTTTTTTTTTTTGTTTGTTTTTCCTTCCCCGCAGGGTTTGCTGCTCTGTACTCTGGCCTGACTCCAACCATGATACGCACCTTCCCTGCCAACGGAGCGCTCTTCCTGGCTTACGAGTTCAGCCGCAAGTTTATGATGGACACAGTGGGTGGTTGATTAATAAAAAAAAAAGAGATCTTCCTACTTGAAACAACAATTTTGATGAAACACTGCCTGTAGCTGATTTTTTCAACACATGTTAGATTTTACATTAATGGAACAACTCCTGGCAATGATTGCTGCATTTGTGAGCTGTGCTGGCCACAGATATTTAAAACAAAGTTTTTATTTGAACTTTTTTAATTAAAGTTTGATATTTTTGTCATGTGAAATTGTTGTAGAATAAATCATGTCTGCATTTACTTGTAATAAGTGGTTTGACAATCACAGCAGGGTTTAGCTCCTGTCAGTTTGGCAGAACTCAAACAAGCAAAAGGGTGAACCCAAAGAGATATTATTTTACGTCTCTAAAGTAAAATAAATCATTTAGAATGAAAAATTTTGTTCTTTTTTGGGACTTATCTGCAGCAGGTTCATGTTTGCAGTTATAATATTGATTGTCTTATCTTGCAAAAACACCAAACTGTAGGGATCAATGGACTCCTGCAGGATTCTGAATCTAATTATTACTAAAATGTTTTCATATTGCAAGATTGTAAAAAGATATGTTCATATTTTAAATACAGTTCTTTCAAAATCCACCAATTAGATTAATATAATTTCTCTAGGATAGCTTTAGTTTACCTAAAAATTTGTTTAATTATGGCTCCGCCCACTGAGGCCGGGGAGGCTTACTGTTCGCAGGCTGTCAGTGTGTTAGTGTGGTGTCCGTTCATCACGGTGTTCTTGTGTGCACGATATCTCCGAATGAAATGATACACTCACCGGCCACTTTATTAGGTACACCACGCTAGTAACTGGTTGGACCCC